AACATGGTATTTCAGAATGGGCTGAGTCTCAGAGATCGCTTTATTTCAAACTCCTGGCTCATTCAAGAACCAGAATTACAGCACCCATCGCAAGTAACTGTATTGGATGTTCCTGATGGATTGAATATCCCCGTGGGTGGGGAGCCCTCCGCCTCACACAGCAGCCTGCTCAGGCTCTGCCTTCTCAATCACGTCTCTACGCTTCACCCAAAGCAGGCTTCCCAGTCGGTCACTGCCTTCCACCTGCGATTTCAAGCCACAGATCACAGACTAAGGGGACTGGAATGAGACTGCGTCATTCCTCCTAACAAAAGGAAACTATTACGCTCAAAGTAAGAGATTGTCCCCATTCATGAAAAATATACTCTAGGAATAGGCATATAGAAACCCATTTCTATATAGGCTATTTTACTGAATAGAAAACAATTACAGTCAAAGATGAATTCCCAGAGAAGTGTTACAGATAGTTGCCCACACTTCTCTTGGAAGGCTAAAAACCTTACATCTGTAAAGATTCTCATTTAGAAAATTATTTCAGTTTTTCTGAATATAAGAGGGGAGAGCCATCTTTCCAGAGCTCCTCTCTCTTATTACATTAGAACTTCTGGTTGTCTTGAACCTCAGCAGAAGTGGGAGGCTGATAAGCTGAAGGAGGGCTGGCAGGTCACCACGGGCAGCTCACCACGGGCAGTGGGACTCTGTGGGTTTTCAGGATACACCATTACTTGTCTTCACCAAGAATCATCCCCTTTCAGGCGTATTTCCTGTATTTCCTTAGAAAAGTCTAAAAGCTTCCTATTTAAAGGTGGGATAGAAAACCACATTACCAACGAAAGCTGGTGATTCAACCCCACTCAAATTTTAAAATAATAGTTTGCCAAGTGTTATTTAGCGGGAGGGCCACGATGTTTGTCCCCTACCCTGAATTCATGTGTTGAAACCCTCACCCTCAATGTGATGGTTTTTGAAGGTGAGGCTTTGGGGAGGTGACTAGGTTGTGAAAGTAGACTCTCATAGTGGGTTTATGGGATTAGAGACACCAGAAAAGTGTGTGTGTGTGTGTGTGTGTGTGTGTGTGTGTGTGTGTGTGTGTGAGAAAGAGAGAGAAAGAGAGAGAGAGAGAGTGTGTGTGTGTCTCCCTGCCTAGTGAGGACACAGTGAGAAGGCAGAAGAGAGTCTTCACCAGAAAATGAACCCCGAAGGACCTTGATCTTGGACTTTCCACCCGCCGGAACAATTCTGTTGTTGAAGCCACCTTTCTGTGGTATTTTGTTATGGCAGCCAAGCTGACTGAGACACAAAGCAGTAAGGAAAACCAGGGGAAGAGGGCAGTGTCTAGAGACAATGGCCCTGACAGCCAGCCTCAGGCCAGAGTCTGTCCTAGCCATCCCTCCTTAGAGACACAGGGAGCACAGACAACCACCATACCTAGAAATGAAAACGTTAGCCTGGGGAAGTGTGGCAGCCCTGGAGGAGCCTGGAGTCAGCAGACAGAAGTGAGGAGGGAAAATTCTTAGTCTGCTCTCAGCCGTGGTTGAAAAAAATGTATAGAAAATGCTGGTGTCAGCTCTTTTTGGACTCTTCCTACAGCAGAAAGTTGGTATTCCCTGCAGCATACAGCAAGACTGTGGTATCTCATAGTCTGTGGGTTCTGGTGCTAGGAGGTCTTTAATATACATGATGGTTTCCTCAAAATGCTGGAGGGTTGGAAATGACATGGGTGTGATCTAAGAGGACCTGACTCTTCTGTCAGTGCCTTGGTAAAACCAGTATGTGCCCATCTGCTGGGCCCTGGAGCCCAGAGGGCAAAGTGCAGGCCCGTGGAGTGGTCCCTGCTCTGGACCTGCATTTTGGCTTCTACTGCAATGGCTGTGCTGTCTCCACTTGGGTCCTCTTTCTGGTCTGGGCCCCTCCTTGAGTCAAAGGGAAGGAGATGGAGCAAAACCAAGGCTGGACACAACCAGCCTCTCTCCCCCGTGTCTGGAAAGGTACTGCTCCCCCCACCCCCAATCCTCTAAGATTTCCCACTATTGAGCACATGTGCAGAGACTGCCAGCGGTTTTCATGGGGACTGAGCTTTGCTGAGACGGATCAACACTTTCTCGTGACCAAAAGCAATAATGTTTCTTGAGAAGGGCCATCAGGCATTCTACTAAACTAGGACCCATGCGTTGCCTTTCCTATTATTCAGAGTTGCTGTAGATCCAGCATCTAACATCACAGGGGCTGTGCTCACTCCCAACCCTCCCTGGAAATCACAGACCTGCTCTATGTAATCGTGAATGTCAATATGCTAACAGTGTTAAGCTGGCCAAGACAAACCTAATGGATTTGGTTTAGTGTTTGGTGCCAAGTAATACACAGCTGATTAAGCCAGTGCACAGATGTGCTAAAGTCATCTGGCTATTCCGTGTCTCCATTTACTTCTTCCCCAGGCAGGCATCGACTGAGAGAGACGACCGTGGCCAGGCCACGCATGGACATGTGATGATTACCTGCAGTTCTAAGGAGCTGCACCCTGCAAAATGGCCCTTGGGTCGTTAACTCACCGAACTGCACAGTTAGTGTTAAGGCAGCTGTGATGCACACAGGACAGGATGGCTCTGCTGCCTCCCAGGCTGCGAGTCACAGGGATGTGAGGAGAGGGGCAAAGGGCAAGGCGGAAGAATGCCCACTGTTTGCAGACCCTGCGGGAACAGCTGCCAAACAGAAATTACTGAAGACATTTGTGAGGGTAACTGGTAGAGATTCTAGCAGAGGTCTGAACTGGAAAGGGAGGTAGTACAGTTTTATTCTGCCCTCCCCCACCCCCAAATGCTGAGCTGAGTGTGATGAAAAGTCCAACTCAGTTCTTAAATGGTAACAGAGCAAAATGTCTTGACACATTTCCTATGCTTATTCATCCTATGCCATATAATTGGGGTTCAACACTAGGATGGAAAACCTCAGGGAAGAATGTTGGTGGATGAAGAAATGGGAGAGGAATATTTACTCAATAAGAACAAACATTCGTTGAATACCTATTCTGTGCTGGCCACTGGGTTGGGGGCTGGGTATTGAGTGGACAAGAAGACTGATCACAAGCTGATCTTAGTCCAGAGAGGAAGGCAGACATGGTGACTTTTCACAGATTGTCTCTCAGGACTTCTCTTTGCCTCAGTGTCTCCTCCTCCATCACCTACTGCTTACCCTGTGCTCTCAGTTCCCTTTTGGAACTGTGCATTTCTGGGCTCTACCTTCAGAGGGTCTGGGGTTTTCTGTAAGGGGGAAGGACTGTATTTTTTTTATTTTCAAGTTCTCTAGGTGATTCTGGTGATGAGCTGGATCTGGAACACTGTCTCAGTGGGCCCATGCTGGACACCTGCAAGGTTGTCCCAAGCATGAGAAGGCACTATTAAACTCCTCTATTTCGCTCTTGTGAAAGGAGATGCAGTGTCTTCTCCTCTGGAATGCCAGCCCAGAGGGTGCTAGGGGTACTCCACGAGTGACCTGCACACCTTCCCTTTAGCACAGGCTAGTATAACGCTGGCTTAGTCCCAATCTCTGCTATTAGACTCTGAATTCTAAGATGACTGTAACATCTTATCCCTTTCCCCGTGGCTAACATAATAGGTAAACAATAAATAATGTTGTAGAGTGAGGAAGCTGGGTGAATTTCATGTGTTCCTGAGCCCTGCTCATGGGGATAACACATGAGCAGGGCAATATGCACATGGAATACATCAGAAGAGATATGCCAGAAACACCTTCCATGCCAGGATGATGGGAACATTCCCTGAGGCTGCTGGTGGTAGTGAGGTGGGTGACAAAGCTCGGGGGTAGGGGGTCTCCAGCTCTGGCTGTAGGCTGTGAAACCTGCTCAAGCTTTCTGGGAGAGTATCACTTTTTCCCCGTTTTCTCAGGCTCACTGGTTCACTTTTTAGTAGCAAATGTGAGAAATGAAAAGCATCTCGATGGGACTTGCAGGAAAGCATCCAGGGTTCTCAGATACACCTTTAAGTTCTTAAAAGCAAAACTTTTTGGCTCCCTGAAATGTTACTTCTTTAATAGGGCTTCCCTCCCACCCCCCTACTGCTTGTCTTTAAGAAATTCCTATAATAATGCCACATTTTCAGAGGCTATTAAGTAACTTATGATGGATTAAATCTTCTCGAATTTGAAGACATTAAGAAGCAAAATAGGACCAGCCGAGTGGTGCGTTGGTTGAGTTGGCTTGGGACGCCAGCTCTGAGCAGCAGGGCCCCGGTTCGGATCCCACATGAGGGCCAGTGACGCTGCGCCCTTTACAGCTAAGATGGTGAACAACAGCTCAACCTGGAGCTGGGCTGCCATGAGTTGCCGGCAACCGTGTTGGCTGCAGTGGGGCTGGCCGGCAGCAGGCATGAGCTTTTGTGAGCTGCCGTGGGCTGCCGCGAGTGGCCGTCCAATGGCCGGTGACTGACTGCTTCACCCAGGAAGAGCGCAATGATAATTAATACCAACACGGGCCAGTGAAGCGACACACTCCACAACTAGACTGAAGAACAAAAGGACAGCAACTTGTCTGTTCCCCTCCCCAAATTCCCCAATAAAATATTTTTTAAAAAAAGAAGCAAAATAGAAAAACATTTTGAAATTCTGTACCAGGCACTGGGTTGGGGGCTGGGTATGTCAGATAAAACATTTAAAAAGCAAAATGTTCTACTTGTTTTCCTTTGTAAAGGTCGCACCCTGCACTCTCACCTAAGAACGTGTGTGTGCACTCCAGCATACGTGCCTGGGGGAGGGGAGGGGGGAAAGGGAAAGAAGACACTTAGGACCTGGAAGGGGCAGGCTGTGAGTGAGATTAAGGATGTGGCTTTTCATTTGCTCTACTAGCTCAAATTCCAAAAACAGCAAAGCTCTACTGCCACCTCGTGGCATCATAAGATGGTCACAAGAGGCATGATTTGCTCAGATTCTATCAACGAAATCCAAAAACACCACAGTAGTTGACACAGCAATGTTTACCAGTAAAAAGATTAGACCAGGAAGTCATGTTGCTTTTTTATTCAAAAGGATCATGTGCTTCACAACAATATGGTTTTAAAAAGACCTCAGGTCTTAAAACTAAGGCTACCATGGCATTTATTTTGCCGTATGTAACAATTTCACATTGAAAAAAACCTCAACATAAAAAACTACCTTTAAACCCCACTGGGACATTCTCACATAAACTAGGAAATTTCGTAAATGATAGTTTTCTTCAATATTCAATCTTTTCAATTTCATCCATGTCTTCAGGGTTGAGTTGCTTGATGCTGCTGTCTGAAAGAATAAAAGAGAATAAACCAGTCTTGTCCCATGGCCCACATGGAATTTCATTCCATCCATCTCTGAATTTCTGAAGACAGTGATGCCTTTGAATATGTGTTCCTGTGACACCTTGTGTGGAGAGCCTTGGGATGGAACATTCGATTAGATAGGGAGAGAACAGCATCAAAATAACCAACTTACTAAAATAGCATCATCTGCACCAGACAATACAACACACGTCTAGATGCCTTGGGACAGAAAAAAGGCCGCAGTGCCAGTGAGGGGCCAGGAAAAGGTTGAGCTCCGGAGAAGTGAAGTGGGCATGAACAGAGGGTGGGGCGGGGGACGGCAACAGGCAGAGGGACTACAGCTCCTCCACTGAGGTCACTTCCCAAGACTAGGGCTTTAGGAGCTTACACAGCAACTGCGATCTTAAGGGTCCTTCTCCCTGCAGCCCCCGTCCCCAGTTATCCTAACACAGGGTGCTTAATCAGCTTCCCTAAAGGGCCCCTGGGCGCACTACAGCTGGTCTGCAAACCCTTTACAATTACATTCCAAGCAGTACGCATGTGCCTATGTGCATGTCCCTGGGGAGAGTGTCCACTGCTGTCCACAAATGTTAAGGTCCACTGTCCTAAAAGGTGAAAGATATATTTGGAGTCACTCAAGGGTTCCTTTTTCCTTGCTCCCCAGCCATATCCACGGGCTCTGGGGCGTGAGGTAATTTGAGAAGTGGACGTCTCAGGTTACATCACTCATGGCGTTTCCCTCAGACTACAACCTACCAGTCCAGGTGCCCAGCAGGCCACTAGATCCTGCCTTGTTCATGGGGGCTAGAGGAACGGCAGCAGACTTCAGAACTCTGTACAGTGGGGCAGGGAAAGGGGGAAATGTAAATAAAAGCAGCAGCTGGGGACAGAATATACTCTCCAAGGACTTTATAACTTTGCTTAGGGTGGTTCTTTCTTCATAGGACATGAAAATCTGCTCCAGATCCCAAAATGAGCAGGAACTCCTATTTGAGCTCATATTAATTCCATTTGATTTAAAAATTTTTCCTTTAACTATCATATGCGACTTAATCTACTGTCTCATAGTAGGAACTCTGGCACTGTGAGTCAGAAGCCTCCTGTCCCCATCCTGTCACAAGCCTCTGAGCTCGAGGTCTATGACATGCACCATTACTGTCACCACGAGCAGGCCCACGGTTCCTACTGTGAACACTGCTACTTACTAAAGTGATCCTGGATCTTCATCAGCAGGGGCAGCTTATCCACTTCGATCATGTTGAAGGCGAGGCCTTTTTTCCCAAAGCGCCCTGTCCGCCCTATGCGGTGGAGGTAGGTCTCATAGTTGGGCTCTCCCAACTGGTTCACGGGGAGATCAAAGTTCACAACGACTGTGACCTGCTTCACATCAATCCCTAGAAGAGGAAAAGACATTGAAGGGTCCTTCAACTTCTTCCTTAGGACATAGGTATTCAAGAAACACACTTGCTGAGGGAATTCTCATTTCACAGACATGTATAAATCGGACCTGGTTTCACGTTATTGAAAGAGGCAATTTGGTCATGCAGTCTGCACGCATAGCATGTCTGTGATGCTGGATGAGGGTCAGTAGGAGCTAATTCTACAGAAGTCTAAATATGCACAGTGTGCGCGCGTTTGTGTGCGTGTGTGTAAGCACACACAGTGGGAAGGGCCCTTAGCAAGCACTCAGAGCCAATCCCTCCTCTCTACTCCTGCTGTGCCAAGTCCCCAGCAGGCACCTTAGTCATGTCCCCTTACCTGTCATGGGGCCCTAGTCCCACTCCATTCCATGGCCATTGTTCTTGTCTGGTCTTTTCATCCTTGCCTCACCTGTTACAACAATTTCCAGACTAGTTTCCCCCCTCTCTCTTCTCCCTCTCCTCTAATCTCTCACCACAGCCATGTCCAGAGCACTGTGTACAGAACCCAACTGCCCAAATCACACAGGAGGACAAAATACAAACAACTTAACACTTCCAAATAACTGAAGTTCCATCTTGTCCTCTCCTGACTCGCAAACCCCACACTGCAGGCACACGGTCTAGCCATTTCCCAAGCAAATGGCAAATTCTCATCAAATGGAATTCTACTCTTCCTTCAAAACCTTTCACAGCTAACATTACCTAGCAAGACTTGTGTGACCTCCAGTGCCTCTGTCCTTCAACACCAACAAGTGGTCCAGGTCACATCCTCGTCCCCCTTGTATTGTGCTTGGGCTCTGGGGCTCTGTGTGCCTTCTTTTCTCTGGGGTCCAGAGTTGTACTGTCCAAATGGTGGTAACTGTTAGCCTCATGTGGCTATTTAAGTTTAAGTTAATTCAAATGAACAATTCCACTCCTCAGTCACACTAGCTACATTTCAAGTGCTCAATAGCCATATATGGCTAGTGGCTACCAATTGGACAGCACAGAATAGCACATTTCCATCAATGCAGAAATTCCTATTGCATAATGCTGGTCTAGAGAGTTAAGAGTCTTGGCAGCGAGTTCCTGAGGGGCAGGGACCTCATCCTTTCTCAGGTTACTCTTCCAAAGTGCCAAGCTCAGCACTCATGGCAGGTCTTCAGCTCTGTCTGCTGAACTAAAAATGAATTCAGAAACAGGGTTTGAGGATGGGGTGTAGGCAAGAATACAGGAGGGATGAAGAAAGTAGGAAGGCCCTGCTCTTCAAAACATTTTTTTCCAGTAGTCAATAGTTTTAAAATCACAAACACGTTAGAGATGAACATCATTAGTCATTTGGAACACAAATTAAAAACATGAGATACCACGCACATCTTAAAGGTTAAAATGCAAAAGAGTGGCAATACCAAGTGATGACAAGGATGCAGAGCAACTGGAACTCACTTACATTGTTTGTCGGAATGAAAAACGGCAGCCCCTTTGGAAAACAGTTTTGTGGTTTCTTATACACTTACCATATGACCCAGAAATCCTACTCCTATGTATTTATCCAAGAGACATGAAAACATATGTCTACACAAGACCTACTCATGAATGCTTATTACAGCTTTATTCAAAATGGCCCCAAACTGGAAACCATCCAAATGTCAATCAGCTGGTTAATGGATGAACTAACTGTGGTACATCTGCTCAATGGAATATTACCCAGCAATGAAAAGGAACGAACCACTGATACATGTAAGAACACTGATAAATTCAAAAGCATTATGTCAAGTGGGACAATTCAAACACAAAGGCTACCAACTGTATGATTTAATTTATGTGTTGTCTGGAAGATACAAAACAGAGAGACAGAAATCTTATATGTAGTTGCCAGGGACCAGTAGTTGCAGGGACTTACTGTAAAGAAGCACAATTCTAGGGGAAGATGGAAATGTTCTGTATTTTGATTACAGTGATGGTTACATGACTATATATATGTTCGTCAAAACTCATTGTATACTGTATACTTTACATTGTATACTATATACTGAACCATATACTTAAAAAGAGTGAATTTTATCATACATAAATTACACTTCAACAAACTTGACTTTAAATATATATCTATATACATACACACACCTCGAGCACAGACATTGGTTGTTATAAGAACTTTCTCTTTCCCATCCCGAAACCTCTGAATGATGGAAGCTCGCTGATCCACAGTCAGCTCTCCACTTAACAAAGACACTTGGTGGCCGTCCTGCATCATCTCCACAGTCAACCACTTCGCATTTCGACGAGTCTACGTGAAAAAGCAAAACCCAGCCCAGCACCCCAAGTTAAAGCAGACCAACTGTGTTTGCAGTGCTCACGCGTGCAGGGCAGGAGCCAGGAAGGGCTGTCCTAGAGGAGCCCTAGGATGTGGCATGGAATTCTTCCTTCCTCTGTGCTTCTACGTGTCACATCCTCTCAACCTGTCAGAGCTTTGGCTTCTCAGCCATGACACAGAGATAATAAAAAATGCTCTACCTACCTCACATAGTGGTATGGCGGCAAAACGAGATCATGTAACAAAAACATGAGACACTCTAAGAGTGCTCATGTATGCCGGGCATGTTGCTGAAATCTTTACATGCCACAATTTGATGACGTAGCTACCTAGTTTCATTAAAAAAAAAAGAAAAAAGAAAGAAAAAAACCCTAAAGCTTAAAGGCATTAGTAATTTGCCCAAGGTTACAAGTCTAGTCTGAAGCAGAGCGGAGCTTCCCTTTTTTCTACAAGTATGTGCCTACATGCTGGTGCTATACTAGTGCAGGGGACATGAAAGCAAGTAAGACCGATCAAATTCTGCTCTGGAGGAGCTCATTATTCATGTGGTAGTGAGAAAATAAAAACACATGAACACGAAAAACGTCCGATAACAGAGTAAATATGAAAATAAGAACACCATGATGTTAACCATGAGTCATCAAGTGGCTACTTGACTCACAGTAAGCTGAGAATAGATCATTCTTAACCTGATAAAGGGTACCTGTAAAACCTTACCATAAACATCCACCTAAACGGGAAAGTGTCAGAAGCCATCCCTCCAACATAAGGATGCCCTCTGTTTAACATCATTGAAGTCCCATTCCGTTTTTTAACATTTCTAAGTTTCACCCATAGAACACAGATAATTTCTACTGAGTTGCTCTGAAGATTAAATGACGTAATGGAAAGAGTGCTGAGCATGGTGCCTGGGTGCATGGCACTTCTGAGTGTTACTGTCACCCTCCCTCCACCTGCAGGGCCGCCTGGGCATGGCGGAGACACATGTCAGCAGTTACCTGGCAGAAGATGATGGCCTGGCCAATAGTGATGCCGCCGTAAATGTTGCACAGAGCCTGGTACTTATTCTTCCTGTCCCCGCACAGCACGTAATACTGTCGGATGTTGTTCAGGGTCAGCTCCTCTTTTCGTAACTTGATAATGTTGGGGTCAGGAATGATTCGCTCCGCAAACTGCCACACGGAGTCCTCAAAGGTCGCTGAGAAGAGGAGCATCTGGCACTCGGAGGGTAAAGCTCTGTGACAGGGAAGGGGAGAAGGCTGTCACCTACTGACACTCCTGCCGCTCTCCTTGGAGGCAGCTTCGAACACTTCACACCCTCTTCCATCAGCTGCTCCACATACACCTGCTCCAGGAGGTCAGCGAGCAGGGTGTGCCTGCGACAAGCTGCACTTCTGGGCAAAGAGCAACGGGTCCTGCTCCCCCTTCCCTCCCAGAATTTGGAAAGATACACACAGTGAGTGAGCTCAGGAGAAAAGTTTACATATGTGAGGGTGTGAGGTTTTCATGCCCATTTTCTCCTGAGAAGCAGGATCATGGAGCCAAGAGTAAGAGTCCAGACGCTCTTGAAGGTGAGTGTCTCAGAGTTCCACAGAGATGAAGAAAACAGAGGCTGGTCATTCCATGGCAGGGGTTCTAGTTCTTGGGAGGGAAAGAACAGCTGCCACAACTAACTTTATTTGCAAAGGGAAGAACCCAGATATAAATAAAAGGGAGGCAAAAGGGAAAAAAAATGCTACTGCATGTGAAATGTAAACTGAACCCATAATGAACACAGGGCTCATTTATATAAAGTCCCAAAACGGGCAAAATATACCTATGAAGTTAGCAGTCAGGATAGAGGTTAACCCTGGGGAGGAGAGAGAGGCTAGTGACAGGAAAGGGGTGGGACTTCTGGAGCTCAGGTTAAGTTCCATTTCTTGATCTGGGCCACTGTTACACGAGCACCGCCTCTTTATGATAATTCACTCAGCCGTACTCTGATGAGTAAAACATCAATAAAAAAGTTAATCTTTTAAAACAAAAGACAGACCAGGAACATACCACCACTTTTGAGAAGGCAGAACACCTAGAAGAATAAGCTGTTAGTGCTAAAAGAGAGGGGGAGAGATCATGCAGACCAGTGATTCCCATACACTGCTCTAAGCCTGGGGCCTAGATCATCAGGGGAGCTTTTCAAACAATAATCTGACAGACTACCCGTCAACTATGGTTCACTGTCTTCAAGTGCTACCTCCTCAGCTTCCCACATCCCATCAATATGATTACAAAGAGATAAAAAGACCCGAATTGAAGCACATCATTGAGAAGTTTCAGAATACCAGAGAGAAGGAAGGTTTCGAAAGCTTCTGGAGAGAAAGAAACAGATTGCGCACAGAAGTCTGAGGATCAGGATGACATTAAACTTTTTGCAACAACACTGAAAACCAAGTGTATTCGTTACAGTATTTCAAAAACCTTTCCTGTTTTTAATATTGTCCTGAATTTACAGGGAGAATGCTTTTCAACATGGAAGTCCACACCCCGGCAAGCCATCAATCGAAAGATCAAATGTACAGGTACGATAAAGACATTATCCGACAGGCAGGGGCTGGAAAATGAACTTTCTATACATTCTTTTTTCAGAAGTCATTAGAAAATATCCTCCAGCATACTGTGTAAACCAACAGGAAGCCAAAAAAAAGGACCCAGAAAACAGGAGATTCAAAACAGTGAGTGAGGACAGGAAGACCTGTAATGAAAGATATGCAGCCAGTCTGGAGAGCAATCAGTGCTGGTGGAAACTGGAGCGAGGGCGTCTGGAAGAGCTTCAGGAAAAAAAGAAACCAGTGGATTTTTAAATCATATTTGACTATTTGGAGATATTGACATATGACACACATGATGAAACAGGTAGAGAAAAACTAAAGTTCCCTACACAGTGATACTAACTAAACAAAAGAAAATAGGCAATTATTACTTCTAAGGGAAAATGCTATACAAGAAAAACGTAATTTTAATAACATACTGCTTAGCAGTGAACAATATCTATAATGTCATAATGGTATCAATACTAACTGTTAAGGTAACCAAACTTATGCTCTAACCACAGAGAGGTGATAGAGGGGACAGGAAAGTGCGAGTGGGTGATGGTATAAAAAAACTAAATTCCTACTTCCTCCAATGGGAAGTCAGCAGACAACAACTATACATCAAAAAATAGCAGTATGAGCATATTATTTAAAGATATGAAAGCTAATATCACAACAGAGATGTATTCTCTAGGGGAGGGGGCAGGGGATTCGTGTTTTTCATTGCCAGTCTATCAATTCTCTTTGGATTTAACAATGAGCATATAAACACATTATTTAAAAATAAGTGATACTGATTCCTAAAGCCCACTCTCAGAAATTCTGAAAATCCAAATTTGTTTTAAAAGTGAAGGAAGTGTGGAAGTAAGCAGTAAAGATAATGAGGAGTAGCAGTTGAATGAAATTTCTCATCGGGACAGAAGATCCAGGAAGAAAGGATGAATGTGAAGATTACCTCTGAATACGAAAGCTTTGATCTGAGAATCCTTGTGTGTCAATCATCACATCTGCTTCATCCAGGACAAACACACGAATCTTAGTCAAATCAATTAATTTTCGCTTGAAACACCAATCTAGGACAGTCCCAGGAGTGCCAATTATAATTTGTTTGGTGATGTTGGTGCCCCTGGAAACTAGGGAGAAAAGGGTTTGAAGGGCTCCTTCAGATGCAAATGGCCTACAATGCAGGGCAATACAACACAGAACTCTCAAGCCAAAGTGCATTTCCTCATGACTTTCCGAGTGCAAACCCTGAGGTTGTCATGGTTTTTGATTTTGCAGAGATTTGAAATAAATTCCCAAGTTTCTAGGTTTATGGCAATGACAATATCCAGCATATTTGATTCATTTAAAAAGCCACCCTGCCGGTTAGCTCAGGTGGTTAGAGCACAGGTTCATAACACTAAGGTTGCCGGTTCCAGTCCCACATGGGTCAAGGAGCTGCGCCCTCCACAACTAGATTGAAACAACTATTTGACTTGGAGCTGATGGGTCCTGGAAAAACACACCATTCCCCAATAAAAAAATAAAAAAAAGAAGAAGTTTTAAAAAGCCACCCTGCAGCAACCCCACTGTCCTATATAAATACTGGCACAGCTGTGAAAACCCTACAAACCTTCCCCAAATGGAAAACCAACAAAACGTCTATCAATAGAGTACATTAAATAATTTATGGAATATTATGCAGCTAGTCAAAAGAATGAAGTGGGGCTGTATATACTGACATGGAAAGATGTCCAACATACATGTTTTTGAACAGTATGAAAAAAATGCTCCCATTTTTGTAAACACTCTAAAAAAACCCAAATATATATACGTACATTCATATGTATATGAGGTCCCCCCCTCCCCCAAAAGCAAAAAAACAAAGAACTGTTAACAAAACTGTAATTATCTTTGGAAGCAGGTTTTTGGAGGACAAGGAAGAACAATTTTCACTTTACCTCCTAATCTGTGTTTTAAAGGTTTTTCCCCACCAAACACATATAATATTTTAATGAAAAAGTTAAACAGTAAAAGCTGCTCTGCACCAAACAATTGAGCATGTGTATACACACACACACACACATATACAAAAGCATCCTCTTGCAGGATGTGCAGATAGAAATAAGGGTCTTTATTATGTGCCAGGTCTTGTGCACAGTGCTTTATCTATATCATTTCATTTTCATCTAACAGCAGCTCTAGGATACAGGTGCTATTACAGCCCCCATTTTAGAGAAAGCAGAGAAGTTATATAGCACGATTGTTAGTGGTGGAGTCAGGATTTAAACAATCAGCCAAGACTGGCTTGCTGGTACATACTTTGATTCCCTCGAATGGCGTACATCACTTGAACATCCACACAGAACTTCCCCATCCGTTCAACCACACGGCCGGTCTGCAGAGCCAATTCATAAGTAGGAGCCAGGCAGAGGCACTGTGGGCCAGCGAAAGAGAGGGGAAGGAGTAAGGTTCGTACAAGCCATCACACAAATTTGAAATACAATGAAAAGTTGTCCAGGGAGAGGCAAAGAAGTGAAATTGGAGATTTTGGTTGAATTTAAATTGAACACAATTTAGCAGCTGATACATCTCAGGTGAATGTTAAGTATGGGAGGGGAAAAGGGGCCGAAGGATGGAGAACTAGCTACCTTTCATATACTCCTCTCTAAAGGGTTATGAAGACACAGAAGTTACTGGTCACACTTCTTTGGTGGGGGAAGAACGGGATGTAAAGAGGCTGGTAATCAAAAAGAGGGGATGCAAGACAAATCAGAGCTTGAGTGCGATCTCCATCACCTCTTGCCAGCTATGTAAAGTCTGCCTGTTTCCAGAACACTCCCTGCTGGGTCCGATCCACCTTATACATCTCTGGCAGAATATCCCCTTCAACCCTTTCATTTGTTATTTCCACCCCCCTATAAATGGTGGCTGTTGATGAATGAAGATGTTGATGGAAGAAACTGGTGACATTTAATGCACTTATGTGCTTCAGGTAAGATTCTGTGAGACAGAGGAGAGGGAAACCTAGCTAAAGGGCTGAAAATAGTTTCCACACACATTTCTCAAACGCAGCTTTCCCTGAAAAATTTTTATTCATAATATCAAACCCCGAATATAAATTTCACTGAACTTGTCTAAAAAAAGCACAAGATTTCATATGCCTGGCATTAGTCATCCAGGTCCCCAGCTTATCTTGTTGATCAGAGTGTAAGCGTCCTGAGAGACTCCTAGTTTTCCCCACAGCACTGAGGACACTCAGCACTCAGGTACTCAGCTTGTCAAACGAGTAGATGCGTCACTTCATACCAAGCACAGTGCTAAAAATGTACACTATTTCATTTAACCTGCGTAACAATCCTGAGGCAAGTATTCATTCATTCATTCATTCATTCATTCAGTGTTTAATGAGTGGTTTCTATAAGCCAGGCACTGTGCTCCGTATTATGATTCAGGGTGAATAGAACAACTATGATCCATGCCTTTATAGATGTTATCTTTACAGACAAAGAAACAACTCGGTAAGATTTACTACCTCGCCTAAGACATTCAGCTAGTTAAGCAGAAAGGCTGGGATTGGAACCAGTCAACTTACAAAGCCTGTGCTCTCAATAACTGCTCCATACTTCTGCCCAATACTCTATGATTTTATGAAAGAATGTCTATTGTAAACATCATATCGCTTGCAGCAATATTGCCTACTACTAAAATGTCACTGGCATTGCAAGCAATCCCATCTCTCTCGCTCAGCCTTTCCTTACCTGTGGGAACAATTCCAAGGCGTTAACTCTGCTTAGCATTGCCAAGACGAAAGCAGCTGTTTTTCCTGTTCCGGACTGGCTCTGGGCTATGAGGTTCTGGGGTCTGCAGAAAAGAGGAGACCACTGGGCATAAACTGAATACAAGAGCCTGGGCATAAATTGAATATAAGAGACGAAAAACAACAAGTTGGAATACCACTACCCTGAAAACTCACGGATGTGCCAGCATCATAGGGAGAGCCATTTCTTGGATTTTGGATGGTCTATTAAATCCCATTGCATATATCCCTTTCAGTAACTCTTCCTTTCTGTCAAAAAAAAAAAAACACCAAACATTTATAGCCTATGAATAGTCAGTAGCCTCAAAAATACACACTTGAAAGGTGCATTTCTAAATTAAGCCATTTTGCAACTGAGCTTCAAAAGTCATATTTAGAAATATATAAATTGATATATCAACTCCCAAACATATACAATCATGGCTGTACAGTTGAACTACTAAAATAATAAGCTATGCTATAAGCCTAAACTAAGGAGAGGAATATGGGCCTAGCACTGAACTTTCTGTTGAACCAAGCAAAAAGGAAAAACTCATCTGATGGAAGTATTGGGTTGTCGGAAAAGTCATGACGCATTTTTGCAACGAAAAACAGAAAAAATGCATCACGACTTTTCCGACAACCCAATATATCTATTTGCCAGGAAGAGTTTTATTTCCCACATAAGCAAAAAAACTAAGTGAGCTTTATTAATTAATTATTTCTAATGAATGACAAACTTTGATATTTTAACAGCTATTTTTAGAGAAGACAGAATTTTATTTAGGTGATTCTTTTACCAGTTCTCTCTAGGAGCAGAAGACAAATTATTACCTCATCCTTCTGAGCCAGGATTTTTAAATGCCTCTTTCCTCACGATAGATGTTAGAAAAAGGATAAAGTAAAGTGGGCTGGAACACTTCTACCTTCAATGACATGCACATTTTGCATGTGCTTAATTGGCAGATTAATTGGTAGATTACTTGGCAGCCAACATTTAATCATAGGTAGGCTTCTCCTTCCATTTAGAAAATGTCTGGGCATTGGGATTTTGGAGTTTTTCCCCACTTTACATTAAGTCCGTATCAGTAACATAAATGTCCTTAATGCCAGTTGATAAATCCCTAGGAAATGCAGACTTATTTGGGAAAGTTATTCATTTTAATGCCATTTGATACAAAATATAATTAGGAAGGTAAAAGCTTATAACTTATCTAAACGGGGTGGAGGAGGATATTTGGGTCATCAATGTCCTCGTTTCTGTATTCTGGTATGGAGAGTAGCAATACGGTATGTCAAGCTTAGCTATTCCCCCTAGCACAGCAAGATTAAAATATTTTACCATCAAAAATGTTTTCAATTTGCTGGACAATGCAGGTATCCTAGTGTTCCTCTCTGAGCTAAATTTTAATTGCATGCAAAATGCAGACATCTCATTTTAATATTGAATATTAGAACACAAACGAGATCCTAATGGTTTTTATTATTAGCAGATCAGTTTGTTCTGTGCTATGCTTTCCAGCATTTTCCCCCCACTTAAAAGAGTAAAAGTACTCACAGCCGCAGCTCTTCAAATGTTTTCACTGAGTAGAGTGGAGAGCTGGGATCCTTTTGCAAGACTTCAACTAGGTGACTGGATTCTACTAAGGATTGTCGGATTAACTTGTTTAAGAGTGAATTAGCTGCCAAATCCACTAGAAAAGCAAGAATGAAAAAGGGGATATTGCAGCGGGGAAACCAGGCTTCCTGAATGAATGACACCTAATAAGTTGCTCCCTCCCATTTAGTGGTGGTATATCAAGCAACTACACCTCCTTTCATCTTTCTTCTGAAGAAGGTTCCAGAAAGAATGACGTGGCATTGAGAATTCCTTTTTTTTTAAAATGAGAATCCAATTTCTTATGTCCTACTGCTATACCAACCTCTAACTTCAAGCAAGCCTACATCCATCACCATCAGACCTAACTTATCTTTGCCAGCTGAAATTCTGCCTTGCCAGCTCAAAACTCTTAACCCATTCCTGCCATTTCAACTTCCTCTAAAGAAATATGCCCTTAATTTAGTATTTCTTCTGATGTTCACTATATATTTATTATAAAGAAAACAGAAGCAAAAATAGTTCTTTTCCAGTGGAGATTAACATTATTTACTCACAGTGTGAAAGTCATGATTAACTGAAGCAGAATGCTAGTAGATACATGCAAATGAATTTATCTCCTACCTACATCTTCATCGTCGTCCGTGTTATTAATAGAACCATCTAAAAGGATGGAAGAGAAACAATAATTGTAAATATAAACGCGGAGCAGAAATATAAAGTGTATTATCCCAGTTTCTCTTGCCGACCGACAGAAGGGTCATCCAGTAGAGAAGTGGGTAAAATGATTGGGAAAGTAGTGGAGGCCCTTGAATGTTAAATTAAGGGAACCAAGAGTATTTCAGTTGCTAAGGACATGAGGAAAGCAATAATCTTTAATTGGGGTCAATCTGCTTTATGCTAACAGCACTCACCTAGGTTTGGGACGTTAGTATTCTTAATACCCCGAAGGTTCTTCCGGGGGTGGATGAGGTTTGAAAACTATTGAAAGACACAAATTTCAACCAATATTAGGAAGCAAGCCTTCAAGAAGCCCGGTACTACCCCTAACAGGGGCTGGAAGGGGTGCGGGAAAGACCACCCGAATCCTTGAGGTATATATGGATTCCTTTCAGAAACAGGTCTCCTGTATGAATTATCCTAAATCTGGAGACTTTCGGCTGCCCCTGTATGTGCAGTTCCTCTTTCTAGGCCTCTAATCTAAACGTGGTAGTCCTTGGGGGTCACACACGATCAAGGGGTGGTGGATAGGAAAGCGCGCTGGTAGACAGATGGAAGGAAGATGGCCAAGACTTAATGGTCAAATTGGGAGAGAAGAAAACTCAAGGTCTGGTTGCGACTACCAGCTGCTTTCCCCTCCCAGGACTTCCAGGTGTCTTCGTTTTTGCCTTATCAAACCAAAGGTCTTGTCTCACTCGGGGTGTTCTTTTCCGGGGCCCTCTTCCAAGTCCTTGCCACGCCACATCTCCCCTCTACCACAGGACAACCCCCCCCCCCCCCCCTCAGCAGATTTCCCCTGGAAGTGTTGTCCAACCCCCACCCCTCTGCCTTCCCGGTCCGTGGCGGTTACGTGGCTGTTCAGCCGCTCGCTCTCCGCCGCCCCCGGGTCGCCTCCCCAAAGTAACGACGCCATGGCTGCGATCGCCGCTCCGGCCCCAGCACGTGCGTCCACCGCGAGGAAGGTTCGGCTCCACCCAGCAGCCAATGGGCTTCCTCGGGCGGCAGGCTCACGCGCCGCGACGACCGCGGCGGAGCGCAGGCGCGGGGGCTCCCGGGAGGAGGGGGTCAGGGGATGATGGGAGGGCTTGCGGAGGGGGGTGTGTCCGGGGGAGGAGGGGTTCCAGGGGGAGGAGGCAGGGCCGCGGGAGAACTGTATGGATCAGCCAGGCTGCTCTTTGGTCTGCCCCCGACGCGCCAGGTGTTGGAAGCCGGGAAGGGGAGCTGTCGCAGTGGACATATGCTTGCTGCCGACCTCTGCTAAGCCAGCAGCAACTTGGGACTCTGAGCAGTAACAATCTTCATACTGATTCGAATCCTACCTCCCTTATGCCACCACCCACTCTCCAGGTAGTTCTCCAGGTGTTCAGGCTGGACTCCTGCCCCGCTTCAAGCTGGAGCCCACGTTTCCCCCCGAAATTTCCGTTTTTACGTGATAAGAAATCAGAAAGGCTGCGAATTGCTAGAAAAGTGGAGGGTCAAAATGGGTACATTTCATCTGTAAATGAATTCGAACGCGAAAGATGCGGAGAGGCAGTAAAGTAGTTCAGGTTCTAACTTATGTCCCTGTTCCTAAATGCCTGTGATGCCTCCACAGGACGCCTTATTGTATTTTGAATCCTGAAGTCTGTCCCTTGCTAAAGCAATCCTGAGAAAGCTGTTCCTTGTGGTAAAACCTCCACCTCCTACCTGCACTGTATAATATGGGATAGATTCATTTTACTACCGACTGCTGAATTTGGACAAAAGAACCAGATTTTTTCCAGTTTTCTAGCTGGAATCTTGCGATTTGGATTAGTCTCTGGAAAAAACCTACAAAAACCTAATTATGCTCTCTCCGTGGTGCTGAAGCCAGACTCCTGTTCTGATGGTCACTTGCAGGCTCCCCAATCGTTTGTTTTGAGGTTATCGTAATCCTTTTCAGCCCTTACATGTGGTTTCTAATAGTAAATGTTTTTATCTCGCAATGGTAACTTTCTACGAATTTAAGTATGTATAAAATCGAGCCAGGTTCTTCAATCTTAGCTTACATATAGGGTAGCAGACCTTTGAAAAGTTACTTTTCTACTATTTTAGCGCACCAGAATTCATCCTTGTACTAACCCAGGCTTTAGGTGGAGAAACGGTGGCCACTCTGGAAAACATTAGGCTGATTTCCCTGTCAAGCCTGCACCCGGGTTTTAAAACGTCATTTCCCACATGTGGACTACAACTCCCATGAGGCCCCGGGCGCGCCCGGGAGACGCAAAGTGACAGCTTCCTGTCTCGGGAAAAGCCGCGTGGTTGGCTACCGGAAGGTAAGTGTGGGGTTTGTGGGGTGGCTTATTTTCTGGGTTCCACAAAGAGGAATGGGTGAATGGACAAACAATTGGACGTTTCTCTTTCTCCTCCGCCCCCTTTCCATGCCTTGATCATTTCAGGAAAGCACCGGTATATGGAAGTGGGACCTCGCCTAAGACCGTGTTTGTATCTGGTGCTTCTTGGAGCTCCTGGAGGCAACTCGCAGCAGGAGGAGCTGCTTTAATTCGATTCTGAGAGGGCCATTGGGCTGTGAAGTCTCTGCTGCCTCGGTGAGAATTCTGTTTGCTCATAAAAGGAAATACTCCTAGAGATCTGGATCCCACTAAGTTGTAGTGTGCGAGGAAGGCGTGGCGACATTTTTCAGATTGAGGATTGCTTTCCAGTGTTAGTGATCATAGATAGGTAGGTGCATGTCTCCTGATCCTGTGGTTATTACCCTCTTTCCTTCATTGGTTTCAAATAAAATTTATCGTGGGAATGCTCTTTCTACCACCCCCATGGTTACTAACATTTTCAAAACTAAAACCCCTTTTTAATTTTAAAAAATAGATTGAGGGCCGGCCGAGTGGTGCGTTGATTAAGAGCTGGCTTGGGACGCCAGAGGGCCCCTGTTCGGATCCCACATATGAGGGCCAGTGCCACTGCCCTCTACAGCTAAGATGCTGAACAACAGCTCAACCTGGAGCTGGGCTGCTGTGAGTCACTGGGGATGGCTAGACTGCAGCCCCTGCTGCAGTGGGTTGCCATGGGCTACCGTGTGTAGCCAGCAGCTGCCAGTGAGCAGCTGTCCAGAAGCTGGGGACTGCTCTGCCTCGCCAGAGAAGAGCGCAATGATGGTGCTAACTTGGGCCAGTGAAGCAACATCCTCCACAACTAGACTGAAGAACAAAACGACAGCAACTTGTCTGTTTCCCTTCCCCCAATTCCCCAATAAAAATCTTAAAAAAAAAATGTATTGAAACTCTAGCGTTGGCCATTTTAGTGTTTACAGGCAATGCTTGGTGCAAGCACGAATTCCCTTTGTGGTAATTTAGCGGCCACCTTACAAGTGTTACATGTCTGCTTGGAAACCACTGTATTGCATCCTGAGAAGGGTGTAGTGTGCTGAAGAAAGCACTGTACTGACTCAGGAGTCTTGGGCTCAAGTCCTCTTTTTGTCATAAATCTTAATTACCTGCGCTTAACCCCTTTGGACTGGTTCTTTGGTTAAGGGGATGAACTAGATAATCAGTTTGGAAACTTTGATTTGGTAATATTGGGCTTTGAGATACATATAAAGAAGGTAAATCATTGGAGCATTTTGCTGTAAATTGCATGTATAAAAGCCATATATTTTTTTAGATTTTATAGGGGAATTGGTGGAAGGGAACAGACAAGTTTCTGTCCTTTTGTTCTTCAGTCTAGTTGTGGAGGACGTCGCTTCACTGGCCCATGTTGGTATTATCATTGCGCTCTTCCCGGGTGAGGCAGTCGCTCGCCAGCCATTGTACGGTGGCTCACGACAGCTCACAAAAGCTCACGCTTGCTGCCTGCCAGCCCCACTGGCAGTCTACGCTGTCACCAGCTACTCATGGCAGCCCAGCTCCAGGTTGAGCTGTTGTTCACCATCTTAGCTGTAGAGGGCGCAGCGTCACTGGCCCTCATGTGGGATCCGAACTGGGGCCTTGCTGCTCAGAGCTGGCGTCCCAAGCCAACTCCTAACCAATGTGCCACACAGCTGACCCAAGCCATGTGGCTTAATTTTTAAAAATAGTTATAAAATTAAAAAAACTACCTTTAATCCCACTACCCAGGGTTAGGTTTTGACCTTTCCTTGTGCTTTGCATCTGTATATGGGTGTGTGACTGCGATCATACTGCATTGTTTGCAACCTATTTGTTTCACTTACTTTGCATTTTCCATTAGCTTCCCATGATTCCCAATGACTTACATTCTCTTTAATCACTTCACTATTATTAGTTTGTAGTTTTTACATATTTTCAGTTAATATATCCTACATGTATCTTTAAGTCACTGGTTCTTTCTTTCCCTGATAAAATGCCTAGCAGTGGAACTGGGCGAATGAATGATGCTTAAATACTAGCTCAAATATTATGGAGAAATTGTATTTTAGCAGATAGGTCCAGGTTATTCATTTTTATGTTACACAGCTGTTTTTCCTTAAACAAGCAAACAATTTCTATGATCACTCTTCTGGCTTCAATATGTTAAAACTGACAATCTCCAGTTTGTAGATGTTCCTCATTGGATTAGAAGCATCAAAAACAAGGAGATCCAGTTTAAGGTAAGCAGAATTAGTGTTCTTGTCTGTGTCCAAATAGGCCAGATTCCTTTTGGTCTTTATGTCTGCATCTGGTTCCAAATGTTAACAGTTTGAAGTTCTCTTCCAGAGTGGGAACAGCCTTCAAGTGATGGGCATAATTTCTAAGACAACCTCAGTGGTAAATTATAAAAAGCATGATATTCTAGAAGTAACAACTGGAGGGCAATACATTTAAATAATTCTGAGACAAAACGGGTTATAATCCTGTATGTCATATAGCGCTGTGTAGCATCTATTAAAAAGCATTTAACACAGTTATCTGGATTGACTATATCTCTTTAGTAATGGAGGATACCCATGCTGTTACCTTTCTTCTTTCCTTTAGGATTGTGTTGTGTGAGGGCAGGTTTTGTTCCTCTCCTTTGGCTCTCATTTGGGTGGTGAGCGTATGATGGGGAGTACAATTGGAAGCAGAGTCATAACCCAGGTTTGAGATCATCTTTCTTTGGGAAATATTTAAGTAAAATAACGAGCAAGTCCATACATTTCCAAAATTCTTTAATGGATAAGCTTAACGCCCAGCAACTTTAAAAACACACTAATAAAAACAGCAACTCACATTGGCCAAAGGTAAAAAGATTATAGGACAAAAATAGTGCTACCTGACTTTGCTTACTAATCTGAAAAGTAGAAAAAAAGGCCAGGTCTGTTTTTCCTTCTCAGGCATGATTTCTCTTGCACTGATGGATTTGAGAGTGGTAATTTGGCAGTTAAGTGGAATCTGATACTTAGGAGAGACCAATGATGGGTGAAATCCTTACTCTATAAATGTTCCATGGGTTTTCAAGTTAGTTGTTTCTATTTAAATAAAAGGAAAGAGAGAAAGAACCAGGTTATCCCAAACAATCCTGTGAAAGGAGAGACAGGTAAAAAGACTTAAGAAGGAGAAAGAGGGAAGGGAAGCTACTTGGGTATGACACCATTTGCAAGGTCACAACGAACACCCCAACGAAGGGCATATCTTTTCTTCTCAGTTGGTACTAGATAATTGTTTGGAACATATATGTGCTGAGGCTTGGATTGGGGTTCTGCTTGAGAATGCATCTGCTCTCGTATACCCCAGCGTAATTCCTTCCTATGATCTTCACCAGGTAACCGTATTGAGTCCCAGTCTCGTTTATACTCAAAATAGCGGGCTACCCGGTCTATCTTGCCCCGGTTGCGGCTTAACTGGTCCAGCCTTGGGAGAATAAAGGACTTGGGTCGGCTGGCAACAATCAGGTCTTGTTCATAAGCTGGAGAGTCCATTCCTTCTCTTCGTAGATAGGAAAGGAGCTGATCTTGAGAAATTCCTTGGTATTCATGTGGTAGATTAAATTTTTCTGAAATGTCAACGGAGGATTCCCTGTCTTCCTGAAACTGCAGATTCATCAACTTTTGTCGTAAGTCCCAGAGATCCATATCACTTTCTGTACCAGACTCTGATTCACTGACAATTGATTCATCCGTCACTAATACTTGCCCACCTGGCTTTCTACGCAGCACCTTTCTCTTCATCACTGGCTTCCGGCATCTTTGGGAGGCCTCTGAGTGTGTTTCTGAAGTGGCATGACTTTCTGCATGTGGGTACTGTAGTTGCACAGGAAGAGCAGGTCGCTTTCCTGGGGTTACTGAAGCTTTGCTGTAGGGATCATATTGGGTAGACTGGGCTTCTCGCCTGACATCTCCCTCACCCTGCCCTGCACAGATACGGGTGAAAGCTCTAGCGGCTGCTAACATTTGTCCTTCTGGATCCATACTGGCCCATTTTTGTCCACCAGGTCCCATGAGTTCCTCCATTGCTTCCCCTACACTGTAGGACCTTCTGCAAGAGAAAACACTGATCAGTTTTCTGATAATAAATTCCCAGCTCATAAATTGTTCATTCCCTTCTTTGCTAGCAGTCAAGTGGAGAAAGACTGGCCAAAGCAATCATAATACAACAGTTATATAATATTGGGTTGTTGGAAAAGTCATGACGCATTTTTGCAACGAAAAACAGAAAAATATGTCATGACTTTTCCGACAACCCAATAAAATGTAGATTAGTACAAGATAGTATGGAGAGTTTGGAGGGGCATTAATTCAGCTCTCAAGAATCTATTACCTGCTTTCATTTCTACTCTTTTTATTCACTCCCACTTTCTACTGCCTGGTAGTTCTTGCCACCCTTAGTAGCTCCCGGGCCAGGATAGGTGAGTTCTGCCATAAGAAAAGCTTGAGACTACACTATATGGGGCATAATGCTTAACGTTAAGTACATTATGTAACTTGTACTTAGAGGGACACTTTATGTATCCAGCATTGTTCTATGTGCTTTACATTAATTCATATAATCCTCACGACTGGGATAGGTACTCTTGATTATCTCCTTTTCACAGATGAGTAACGAGGCATACAGAGGTGAAATAACTTAGCCCAAGGTTACACAGCTCGAAAGTGTGGAGCTGGAATTCTAACTCAGGCAGTCTGGCTTCAGAGTCCTTGCTTTTAACTATGAGAGCGATTTAATCCAAAAAACCATCACAAAAGTAGTAACATGCATGTATACACTTATGCTTAAGTAATTTTAATGCATCTTCAGCTGCCAAGCTAAATCTGTTAATCCCAGTACACTGTCAATAAAATAACTTTTAGTACCCAAATCAATCAGCCAAATACCCGATGCTAGTTTCCTGACTGGATCTAAGATAGGTATCTTACTGCCCACTATTTCCCGTGTCCCTACCATTTTTCTTTTTAAGCTGAAAACATACATGCACATGGTAATTTTAAGGATTCCCCCCTCCTCCCACCAAGTTTCACTCCCAAAGGCAGTTTCTTATCATTTCTCCAGTAAGTTCCCATATTCATATGCACATTTTTTGTACCATAAAGGATCAATACAACTCTTCTGAGCCTCAAAGATAGTCTTGGTGATCCAGCTATATTAGTTTATGTAGACTTCATTTTGTTTAAAGTTTCACAGAATTCCAGTGTATGGCTATACTATAATTTTCAGCTAGTCCATGACTTATTTAATTTTATCTCATAGTTTCTTGTTAAAAATGAATGTTACAATGAATATCGTGTGAATTTCTACATACTTGTGCAAGCATATGTGTATGTTAAATTTCTAGTCTTTGCAATCAGTTTGGTAAAAAAAATAGTTCTCATATAAATTAGCATTTATTTAAACTCAGTAAAATTGAGCATCTTTTTATACATTTATAAGCTTCCCCACCACCACCACCACCTTGTATAAAATGCTTGTTCTTTTCCCACTTCTTGGGTTGTTCGACTTTTTCTTACTGATTTTTTTGTTAAATCTGATTTATATATATTCATGAAATACTTATATAAAGGAAGTTAGCTCTTTACTATCATTAATTTTTTTCTTCCCAGTTTGTTGTTTACCTTCTGCTGACTTTATCTTTTGCTGGTAGAAACTTGTTTCTGTGGTGTTTTACTTAGAAATGCCTTTCCCACTCCAAGCTTTTAAGGAAGTTATTACATGTTTTCTTCTAGTACTTTTATAGTTTCATGTTTTAAATTTAAACTTTTAATCTATCAGATATAGAAACTCAAAGGGCAAAAAACTGAATGAGCTACGAAGACAAATAACATAGCCTTAGAACAGATGTGGAGATGATCTTCTATTCTATTACTAAGTAACCATCAGTCATAGATTGTAATGTCCCATAAATGTCTAGTACACTAAGGATATAGTACAGTTGTACTGAATTTATTGAAATATGCCCAAATTTCAACAGTAACATCTAAATTACATTATCCAAACTGACTCTTCTAGCTGCTAGAGGTACAGAAATCTCTTATCAGAACATGCATTAAATTTGACTTAAAAAAGGATCACAATGCTTAATTACCTTCTTTCTGCCATCAAAACTGCTTAAAGTGGGAAAATCTTGACTCCAGATTCTATTTCCACTATAATGTACAATCATTGACAAATTTCTTCAATCAGGTTAGCTTCTATTGTACCACCTTTAAGACAGAACTGAATGTTAGATAGAACATACAAGCCACTATTTTATCTGAAATGCTAGAAAGCAGTAGAAACAGTAGATGTATACATTCCATATAAACAGATCTTATGATTAGAAAGATTGGACAAATGTAATAAGAAGTCAAAAGGAAATGTTTGGGGCCGGCCAACTGGCTCAGTTAGTTAAGAGCTCGCTCAAGAGTTTGAGCTCTGAGCAACAGCGGTTTGATTCCCAGCCCGAGCTGAGCAGCCGCTGAGCTGCCAACAGGTGGCAGGATGGCTCAGCTTAAAAAAAAAAAAAAAGGAAGTGTTTTAGGGAAAAAAATATCAATAACATCAGTCCTTAATCATCTCAGCTAATAGAGAGACATGAAATCTACAGTCATTTTCCCTAACATCTGACTACTTAAACCATGCTAGCTGAATATTTTTTGATGCTATTTTCCATTTCCCCTGTGAATTGGCCACACAGGATGGAAAAGAATAAAATCTGGATGATTAACCCATAGTAATTAAGCTAATGCTTATATTCCTGGGCTGAAGCAAAAGTCTGTCCTTTAGGCATTAAATTACATTTTAGATACTATTTGAACATAATGGAAAGATACTGACATGACCAAAGAAATCAGCACTGAAATTGTTGTATACTTTACTCTCTTTTCAGGTAGTGTGGACCCATATGATTCGGTTATTCCTGGGGTTGTCTTACCATGGCTGAAAATGACACAGACAGAATCCAGACTGAGGAACTCCTAAAAAGAGTACAAGAACTGGAGCAGGAGGTACAAAGACTTAGAAAACAACAGGCCAACACCAAGGACTCAAATGTTAGAGAAAATTCTTCAGGAGCTGGAAAAGCTAAGCGTGCATTTGATTTCAGTGCTCATGGTCGAAGACATGTGGCCCTAAAGATAGCCTATCTGGGCTGGGGATACCAGGGCTTTGCCAGTCAGGAAAACACAAACAATACAATTGAAGAGAAACTGTTTGAGGCTCTAACCAAGACTCGACTAATAGAAAGCAGACAGACATCCAACTATCACCGGTGTGGGCGAACAGACAAAGGAGTTAGCGCCTTTGGACAGGTAAGGGCCACTACACTGTTTCTCAAAGTACACCATACCAGTATATTCTAGGTATGCATACTAAGGATTCAGATTATTTGTATCGCTAAAACACAGTATCTTTCTCTAATTCCACAGGTGATTTCTCTTGACCTTCGTTCTCACTTTCCAAAAGGCAGAGACTCAGAGGATTTTAATTTACAAGATGAAGTCAACGATGCTGCTAAAGAGATCCGTTATACCCACATTCTCAATCGGGTGCTTCCTCCAGACATCCGGGTACTGGCCTGGGCCCCTGTAGAACCTAGCTTTAGTGCTAGGTTCAGCTGCCTAGAGCGGACTTACCGCTATTTTTTTCCTCGTGCTGACTTAGATATTGTAACCATGAACTGTGCAGCTCAGAAGTATGTTGGCACACATGATTTTAGGAACTTATGTAAAATGGATGTAGCCAACGGAGTGATTAATTTTCAGAGGACCATTCTGTCTGCTCAAATACAGCTAGTGGGCCAGAGCCTGGCTGAGGAGAGATCGCAAGAACCTTTCCAGTTATGTCAGTTTGAAGTGATTGGGCAGGCGTTCCTTTATCATCAAGTCCGTTGCATGATGGCTATCCTTTTTCTAATTGGCCAAGGAATGGAGAAACCAGAGATTATTGATGAGCTGCTAAACATAGAGAAAAATCCCCAGAAACCTCAATACAGGTAAATTAAAGACAGACAAAAACTAAAATAACTAAACAGCTATTGCCCTTAGATTTTTAAAAAATACATTCTAACATATCTTTCTCTCCCCATAATTGTCTGAATAACTAAGTACTGATTCTGTCTTCATGAAACTTTTAGTATAACTTGTAGAATGTTATGAACATGTAAGAGGGAATGGTATCTTTGAATTTTCTTCTCTCACACTTCTATCCCGTAGTGAGAAATAGGTGATTGGACCAGGCCCCTTAAATAAAAGCACATTCATTTCTACATTTTTTTCCCCTTGAATTTATGTTAAAAGGTATTATTGTTAGGTTCTGCTGAAGTTAAACAGTGAGCATTCAAACTATTCATATTAAATCTTGCTTGCTTTGTATTATGGAGTAGTCATACTACTGTACTTTGGAATTTTTCATAATTTTCAGTTTCTGAAATGGTAGGAAAGTCAGGAAAATAGTCAGCTTTTCTTTTGAGAGCAGGCTAAGGTCAGATAGACCAATAATTCATTCCTAAGCAGTAAAATCTATGAGTAAGTTTTTACTCAGACTATACAAAATTGACAAGTTTGGAAAACCACCACCAGCTCTTTTTAATTTTATAGCTATATGGTGGAGCCAAGTCAACTCACTAATAGGTGACTTGTTACCATTGAAATTTATCCTAATATAGATCAAGCCTAACCAGTTCATTAATGGTTTGTCGTCTTTTTCTTTAGTTATAATGTTGTGCAAGGTTAGGGATGGTGTTGTATTTTCATAGCTATTAGATACCTAATATTGTTTTTGTAAAAGGTTTTTCCTCCTTTTAACCCAGCTAACCCTATTTTTAAAGAACTGTTGGATGACTGCTGTGTATTCTCATACTCTGTTTCGTTTCTCTTTCTAGTATGGCTGTAGAATTTCCTCTAGTCTTGTATGACTGTAAGTTTGAAAATATCAAGTGGCTCTATGACCGGGAAGTTCATGAGTTCAATGTTACCCACCTACAACAACAATGGGCTAATCAAGCTGTTAAGACTCACATGTTGTATAGTATGCTGCAAGGACTCGACTCTGTTGCAGTACCCTATGGGACAGGTATGACAGGGAAATCCACAGATGAAATTATTTACCAGAACCAAAGTTATACAGGGTTACGGGGGAGGTAGATTTATATAAACTTTGGAGGTGATTCTATGGTGGTAAAGCATACATATAATAATGCTTGATTGTATGTATTATAGGACCTGAGACAGATGGAGTGATAGAATGGAGAAATGTTAAGCCCTCCATCATAAAGCAGACAAGTGCCTTTGTAGAAGGAGTGAAAGTGCGCACATATAAGCCCCTAATGGATCGTCCTAAATGCCAAGGATTAGAATCCCGGATCCAGCATTTTGTACGTAGGGGACGCATCGAGCAGCCACATGAGGAACAAACAAAAGCCAAAAGGGACTGTAATGACACACTAGAGGAAGAAAATACTATTTTGGAAAAACCAACAAAGAAAGTCTGTGTTGATACAGAAATTAAACGCATCATTTAACCACAGAAAACTCGCCAGGATCTGGGAGGCAACAACGAGCTAATAGTAGGTGGGTAGAAAGGAAATACAATATTTACTGGAAGTCCTAGAAATGCCGATGATAAGCTCTTTTAAAAAAAAAAAAAAAAGCAGAAAACCAAAAAGATCATAGGCCCTTTTAAGGAAGTTCTTGTTTGAACAAGAGATCAAACATTCTCTCATTCCTGTCCAAAAGGATTAAGAGATGGAAAAAGCAAAAAAGCGAATGTAAAATGGAGATGTATTTACATACACCTGGAAACCTGTGCCTTATATTCAACTTCATTAAAGCCTGATTCTGCAAATGTCTAATTTGTTGTGTTGTTCTTTTTAAAAGCAAATGAGATGTTCACTCCTTATCCAAATTCACAAAAAGAGCATTGCCTGGGTATCTTATTTTCTAAGACAAATAAAAAATATGAAAATTTGTCAGTTAAATATTTGAAAAATTGGTTTAGTGCCAGGTACAATACTACCTGACAGTGACCTAACAATAAGGTACAGCATCTCTTAAAAAGCTTATCAGTCTAGTGCTGTGTGACCTACAAATGGTCTCTGCTGCAGTCTTTTATTTTTTAACAGCCTTTTATGAAAACATTCTTAGCTCATGGGCCATATTAAAAGAGGCCATGTAGATTACCAACCCCTGGCCTAGTGGTTTAAGGAAAGCTCTTATAAAGAGATATCCAAGCTAAAGCTTGTAGAACAAGTGGGAGCCAGCTGAAGTGGGGACAAGAAGCAGAGCTTTAAGGTGCTTAAGGCAGAGATGCAGTTTGTATAAGGGTTAAAGATTACTGCATTTGTATTCAGGTAACTAAATGTAGTGGTATGGCTTGCGAGTGACAAGAGCATAGTTTAGAAAGGTAAGCAAGGGTCATGTCTGTAGAGCCTTGTAGGACTTCCTAAAATTTAAATTTTATCTTGAGGCACCACTAAAAAAATTTAAAAGCCTGAATTGTAGCAAAAATATTGTTCTGCATATACTGTGGATTGGAAGAGGGCAAAACAGTGGAACCAATTAGGATGCTGTTATAGTAAGCGGGACAGAAGTAGATGGATTTGAGATTAAGCAAGGAGAAGCAACAGACTTCGTGGGTAAATGAATGTGAGGTTAAAAAGTAAGGAGACTTTTAGGTTAACTCCTAGGTTTTGGATTTAAAGCACATCTGTGAGACTGAGACAGGAAAATGAGGTTTGCTTGTTCTCAAAGTTGATAAGTAACCCTCAAAATATTACCTACAAACAATCAATACTTACTCAAAAGAGTTCAAAGTTCTCCTAAATAATACATTATCATACATTATCCTTTATAGCAATTAAGATAAACATCAAATAAATGAACTCAGACCTCAGTAATAACAATTCTCATCATTGCAGTGTATTACTTATCCACAATTATGATGTAATTATACTATATGTTTACAAGATCCAAAGTTTTGTTTACCAACCAACAAATCGTTTGTTCCTACCTATGTTGAAAACTCCGGGTATATAAATAGTTTATATCCTCAAGCTGCCAGCTAAAATATAACTAACGTGACAATTAGAAATAATACATATAAATAGTAAACATGCTGTACAAGTATTAAGTGCTACAGAAACTTAGTAGTGGGTGGGCTACAGATACAAGACTTCACTGAAAGAGCTCCAAGTTTAGGATGTAAAATAGTATAAGAAAAGTGAAGTGACCCTGTATTGAAGAGTACCAAGATACTAATAGCTTATACATTATAGCAGAGTAAGAACCAGAGAAGATGCCCATTTTAGATGGGGAAATAGTACAAAATAACTAAGATTTATTCTAAAGAACCATTGTAGCATCCAAGTCTTCTGGGTTTTGAATCATGTCATTGAATTTTGGGACCTGATCTGCCAACATTTTACAATGCCCTGAGTGTTCTTAAAATATTCTTTCTTGTTTATTTTTTATGTAAAGATCCTTTTGTTTTTAGTATAACGATTGAGGATAGAATAGCCTCACTTAAAACATGTAAGGACAAATTAAAGCTTTATTCTTTTCAACTTCCTACCTTATCTCAATGTACCTTCACTGGCATTAGTTTTCGAGTCAAAGGAAAGCCTAGAAAACAACAGATTTAAGAAATCACTCCTTACTTTAAAAAAATCAACTCTAAAGAAATGATACATGGGACAAAAAGCTAAGCTAGGGAGAGTCTATAGAAGCAAAAGAATAGAGGATCAGGGTCTTAGGTCTTAAGTAAAATCCTTGAAAGTTTAACTAGATTATACTATCAAAACTAGAATAAATATTTAGTGACATTATTTTTGGTAGTTACCACAGAAAAAACTCAGGACAATCATCAGATGAAGCAAATGAGAAATCCCAACTTTGCAAAATTAGTTATCTAAGGTAATGTTTGCATAAATTCCAAAGTCTCTGACCCATGGTAGCGACTAAATGTTAGAAGTAAAGCTTAGATGTTACTTTCTACATTGGGAAAATGGAATTATTTCAATAGGTTGTGAACTTTAAAAGATTTTATATATATGCATATACATAATATGATACATATGTAATATATATATGTAACTATACAATAAATATGTGATATAAATCAACATATATAAATGGAGCTTTGTGATAAGTATTACACCATTCATTTCAATGTTCATGCAGTACAAACCTACCTATTAAAAAGATGCACATAGACTAAAGTAGGGACAGAGGAGGAGTTCCAACACTAAAGCCCAGAGATTCTTTTGTGTACTATATATACTATGTGTGTTATACTATACAATGATTAACATGTTATTTACATTTAAATTATAGCACACTCCCATTTTTTTTTGCTTGAACATATGAGGATAGGTGTTTGCGACTAATAAAATCTAAACTTTAGTAAGGTCCACAGTTAGGTAACGCAGTTCTTTCTTTTTAATTCAAAGACCTGATAATCCTTTGTTTTTACTTAGGAGGAAACTTTCATACAGAGGCTAGAATGTCTTATATTTTGTAAATACAGACAGACAATATTAACCAAAATACACAACAGCACTTCTCTTCGAAAGTCTTAAGCGATTCAGTGTCCCAGGTTTAGCTAGTTTCAAGTGAAAGGATTTTGAGGGTGGAAGGGGGAAACTGAGTCAGTAGTTAGCTTCTAACTGGTTACAGGGAGGCTACTGCAATGTTACAAAGAACTCCTCTACCTCTGGAGAGGTAAACATGCAGTTTAAAGAACCACAATATTAGAACAAAACAAAAGAAAAAACACCCTAAAAAAGAACCATAATCAAAAGACAATAAACTAGGGGAGATAATTATCACAGGTTCAAAATCACTAATTCAAATTCCTTTTAGAAAGCTGTTAAAATAAAAAGGTACACCAGCAGAATAAGAAGGAAAAGACAGATAATTTACCAAAGAAATAATAACTAATAAAAAAATGTTTAATATCATTAACGCAGATAAAAACATCATCCTTTTAGATTGGTAAGATTTTTCAATACCCAGTGCTGCTCAGTGTGTGAACTAAGCAACTTTACACTTTGTGTGTATGTGGGTGGGGTGAGGGATATCTAATTTTCTAGAGGGCAGTTTGGCATTATGAATCAGAATTTAAATTGTACCATAATTTCGAAGCCATCATACTCTTCCAGGTATTATTCCAAGGAGATAAACTGGACAAGAATGCAAGCATGTATATGTATGAATTAACCACTACTATGCTATTCTAAATATTCCTAAACTATTACTGACTGGATAAGGCATAATCTGTTTATTAAATGAATATGCTTTATTCAAAATATACAACTCTATAAAAATAAATACATTTGGGCCGGCTGAGTGGCACGTTGGTTAAGAGCTGGCTTGGGACGCCAGAGGGCCCCGGTTCGGATCCCACATGAGGGCCAGTGACACTGCCCTCTGCAGCTAAGATGCAACGTCCTCCACAACTAGACTGAAGAACAAAAGGACAGCAACTTGTCTGTTCCCCTTCCCCCAATTCCCCAATAAAAATCTTTTAAAAATACATACATACATACATACATTTTATAAGTATAATCATGTGAAGATATATTCATAATTAATAACGTTTGCAGTAAACACAAATGTGAATTGTGGTTTTTTTCATGGCTCTGATGGGATTTCCAGTAGTTTCCTCCTTTGTTCTTTATACTACTTAATATTGCTTGGAGCTATTTCTAAAAACAATGAGACTGTATAATTTTTATAATCAGAAAAAAAAGGTTTATTTTCATGCTAAGTTAGGGCTGTAGGGTTCTTTAATTTCACAGCGGTCCTAACTCATCAGGGAAAGAGCTTCTCACACGGTTACACCCAGATGTTCACAAAAGGTGTGACTCGAGAGGAAGACGTTGTCCCTTTACAAAAAAGACCGGCATCAGCACCATCTGGCCTGCGCGTGGCTGCCATCGGTCTGTGACGCTCCCGGCTTCGGAGGAGGCCAGCTCACACCCCTGGCCCGTTCACTTCACTGAGACGCGGCCACGGTGACCTCCGAGGCTCGGACCGCGTTGGGCCGGCCCGTCGTCTACACGCATGCCTGTAGAAGCTGCGAACCCGGGCAGTCGGGATGTCCGGGCTTGGGACTGCGCGCCAGGGAATTGGTACCCAGTCGGGGAAACCAATTCCGCGTACTCAGCCCCGACCTCTCCCCAGCAGCGGGGGGACCCAGGGAGCGGCCCTCAGGGACCCGCTCCACCTCTCCCAGCCTATCCCGCTTACCGGCCACGCCAAAGTCCGCTCGCAGCCCCGCTAGCAGCCCCGCCCGCAGCTTGGCCCCGCAGCCCCACAGGGGTCGGTTGACACCGCGGTTTGCGCAGGCTCACTGCGCGCCCACGAGCAGACACCGCCTTAACTGCCGGGATGCGGAGGTTTAAACAACAAGAACCAACTGGAGCCTTCGGCCCCGCCCCCAGCCCTCTTATTGGTCCTTATTGTAAATACTTCCATGTCTACATTCTGATTGGTTCATATTTTCTCTTGGCCTTTCCCTCAGGCGGGAGGAAGCCCGGGATTTGGGGCGTGGATTGGGAAATGTAGGAACCCTGCGGCGCTCCAGCGCGAACGTGGAACCGTTGCTGAGTGACCAAGCTGAGCTGACGCGGAGGGGAGGACTCTAAAGCCTCGGTTAACGGTGCAGTACCTGGGCTTTTGGAGAGGCCGTATTAGCGTTCAGTCCACCTTAAAGAATGTTTCCACCTTTCTCGACTCCGGGCCGCTGCAGGCTCGGTGGCGTCAGAGGGTTCTCGGCGCGGTGGGAATCTTGATCCCGATCCGCCTCTGCGCGTAAGCCAGTCGACGCGGGTTTGACGCGCGGGTTCTTTGTGAAGGCCCGGACGCGCGTGGAGGCCTTTCCGAGGCTCACAGGCCTTCTCATCTGACCGAGTGCTGTGTCTCCAATCCCGCTGACGTTACTTTCAAACTGACTTCCTTGCTAGAACGACCACTCACTTGCGGCGTTCCTGCGGAATCCTCCGGTCTACTCCCTTCACTTAGTCTTAGTCTTAAAACAATTTTTTTATATGTACCTGAATAAAAAGGTCTCGTGCTTTGGGAATTGCTGAGAATGAGACATAGAAAAAGAAAAAGAGTAGATAGAGGTCTCCACAATTTGATAGTCTAATGCCTTCCTTGAACAGCGTATTCTCCAAGTCCACACACAAATTCGCAGGGGCTGGTTGACTAATTTATACTGTTTATTAAATCCAGGACTGAATGAGAGGGAGAACATAATGTTTAATGCTTTTCCTCCAAATACTTTATATTACCTCTTATTCTCCCCCTCATACTCCCCCACCACCCCTTTTTGTCTCAGGGCCTTTGCATTACCTGTAAAGCACTCCAGGGTTGTTGGGGGGAAATAAAAAAAAATCAACAGGAGAAGATGGCAGATGTAGGTTGTGAAAATTTGAATGACCTTGTCCTTTAGATCTGCAATATCCTAACAGTTTAGTGCACACAGTCTTTTCTTTTCCTCATGAACAAATATTCCGTATTCAGGTTTGGTCATCTTATACCTGCCTGACCTTTTCTTTGGCGTTGAATCTTCAGTCAGTTTGTCTTATTAACCAGAGTAAACAGACTCATTTTTCGTACCCACTGCTTTGGTCATTCAACATACTCTTGCCACCCTCCCCATTTGTTTCTTGTTATGCTTTATGTTAAAATTTGATCTTTGAAACCTTTCATGGTTCTATCTCCTGTCATATTTCAAATGGTATCTTGTGTTCAACTCAGTCCTTGTTTTTGGTGGATTACTTCATCCTCCAACTTTACCTGGATCGGATTTTACAGTCCTCATGGTTCCCTGAAATCCACCAAACCCAAGACAAGAAGCATTAACTGAGATCATCTAAAATACAGTATACGGAAGAAAATCCTATTCTTGAAAACCAAATTGCTTCTTCAAAATAATTAATTAAGGAAAATTTCAAACATAAAAAATTGTGTATATTGAAGCCCATGAAGCCCCATGAACTCAGTGCCCAGCTCCAATGATTATTAACTCATTACCCATGTTGATTTTATATCACTATCTACATACTTCCTCTTTATTATTTTGAAGCAAATATTAGGCATCTGAAATCTCTATAAATATTTTGGTATGATTTCTTTAAAAGGACCCTTTAAAAGCATAACCACAATACAATTATCACACCTAAACTATATAACGTATTTCCTTAATATCATCAAATATCCAGTGTTCAGTTTTCTACTTGTCTCTTAATTTCTTTGCTTGTTTGAACCAGGATCCAATCAAATCCACACGTTGTGATTGGTTAATATGTCTTTTAAGTTTATTTTATTCTATAAGTTTCTCCTCCATTTTTTTTCCCTGGAAATTTGTTTGTTGGTGGAACCATATTGTTGGTCCTATGAAGTTTCCCATAATTTGAATTTTGCTGATTATATCTAAGTGATGGCTTCCTTACCTTTTGGTTGTAACAGCTGTCTCCCGCATGCTTGTCCTAATTAGGTTTAGCTGGTTTACTGACCCATCAGCATCTTTATCTATGCATTCAAGTATTACTTTCCACTGTTTACACTGTTATGCTTAAGTTAATCACTCCTTTATGATATATCTGCTTACCTCATCCCTTTGTGGACATTTTCAAACTCCTTCAACTGTAGACCTCTTCGATCTGGAACATTTTCAGTTCTTCTCTCTTTATGTCTTTCTCAAACTGGGAAACAACAACAGCATAAAGAAAAGCAAAATGAAAACAAATAACTCTCCCTTGACACTGATGCCCCCTCCTGTCTGCCTTCTAGTCCAATCTCTCTTCTCTGTTATTGCTCAGTTCCTTCAGTCCTTGAGTTCTGGATTCTGCCCGTATCAGTATATTCAAACTGTACTCTCAAGGGTCACCGAACTTCTTTGTAGTCAGTTCCAGTTGTTTTGCTCAGTCCTCATTCCCTTTTACTTTTTTAAAAAATGGTATTTGACAATTTATTCAGCAAATGTTTATTGAACACCACGTTAAGTACTGTCCCATGTCTTAGTGATTTGTTGATGCATAAAAAACTACAATCCCTGCCCTTCTGAAGGTTCCAATTTGATAGGAGAAATTGACATTGATCCAACTATCAAATTATTGTGAAATTACAATTGTCTTCAGTGCTAAGGAGAGACAAATGCTCCAATGAGAACATCTAATAATATGGAGATTTGACATAGCATCACTGAACCAAGAGCTAAATTTAGGATAAATTGGGGAAAGGATATGGAGGGGACAGATGAGGGTGAAAGGAGTTTTTTAGGCAGAGGGAAAAGCATATGGGAAGAGGCCTCTGGGTATGGAAGCTTGGAAGATTCAAGAAATTGAAAGAAGACCAACAAAGGGACAGAAGGCAGAGATGAGACTGGAGAGGTAGGCAGGGCGAAATCATGTAGGTCTTGTAGGCTAAGGCAAACAATTTTATCTTTATCCTAAGAACTGTAGAAACTCAAGTGAGAACTGGGATGTGTTGTGTGATATACTCAGGTTTGTGTTTGAAATTTCATTTTGGCTGCATTGAGCAGAATGGATTTGAGAAGGGCAAGATTATATTAATACATGAAGTAAAAATGGGAGGCAGTTGCAGTATTCCAGGTGGAAGATGGTGGTGGTTTAGGCTAGGATAATAATATACACAGAAATAGCAAAAAGGGAACAGACTGAGACATTGAACAAGGGGTGCATACGCATATATCTTTTCAAATTAGCGTTTTGGATTTCTTCGGATAAATACCCTGAACTGGAATTGCTGGTTCATATGGTAGTTCTATTTTTAATTTTTTGAGGAAACTTCAAAACGTTTTCCACAGTGGCTGCACCAATTTACAGTTCCACCAACAGTTGCACTAGAGTTCCCTTTTCTCCACATCCTCACCAATACTTGTTTTTGTTGATTTATTGATGATAGCCATTCTGACAGGTGTGACATGATATCTCATTGTGGTTTTAATTTGCATTTCACTGATGATTAGTGATGTTGAACATCTTTTTATATGTCTATTGGCCATCTGTATGTCCTCTTTGGAGAAATCTCTATTCACTTTCTTTGTCCAGTTTTTAATTGGATTGTTTTTTGTTTGTTTGTTTGCTTTGGTGTTAAGTCGTATGGATTCCTTATGTATTTTGGATATTAGCTTCTTATCGGATGTATCATTGGTGAATATCTTCTCCCATTCAGTAGGTTGACTTTTTGTTGATGGTTTCCTTCACTGTGCAAAAACTTTTTAGTTTGATATAGACTTTTGTTTCTCTTGCCTGAGTGTGTGTGTGTGTGTGTGTGTGTGTGTGTGTGTGTGTGTAAGAGTGATGTCAAAGAGTTTACTGCCTATGTTTTCTTGGAGTTTTATGGTTTCAGGTCTTACATTTAAGTCTTTAATCCATTTTGAGATTATTTTTGTATATGATGTAAGAAAGTGGTCTAGTTTCATTTTTTTTTGCATGTATCTGTCCAGTTTTCCCCCCATTTGTTGAAGAGATTGTACCCCATTGCATATTCTTGCCTTTTTTTGTCATAGATTAACTGACCATATAGACGTGGGTTTATTTCTGGGCTTTCTATTCTGTTCTATTGATCTATGTGTCTGTTTTTATGTCAGTACCATGCTCTTTTGATTAGTATAGTTTATCAGATCCCTCCAACTTTATTCTTCTTTCTCAAAATTGCTTTGGCTGTTTGCAGTCTTTTGTGGTTTCATATAAATTTTAGGATTATTTGTTCTAGTTCTGTGAAAAATGACATTGATATTTGATAGGGATTGCATTAAATCTTTAAATTACTTTGGATTATATGAACATTTTAACGGTGTTAATTCTTCTTATACATGAACATGGTATATCCTTCCATTTATTTAGTCTTCAGCTCTTTCCTCAGTGTCTTATAGTTTTCTGAGTACAGGTCTTTTATCTCCTTGATTAAATTTACTCCTATGTATTTTATTCTTTTTGATTGCAAATAGGATTATTTTTTTAATTTTTCTTTCTGACAGTTCATTATTGGTGTATAAAAATGCAATTGATTTCTAATCATTAATTTTGTATCCTGCTACTGTACTGAATTCACGTATTAGTTCTAACAGTTTTTTAGTGTAATCTTTAGGATTCTCCATATATCATGTCATCTGCAAATAATGACAGTTTTACTTCTTCGTTTCCAATTTGGATACCTTTTATTTCTTTTTCTTTTCTGATTGCTGTGGCTATTATCCAATAGTATGTTGAATAAAAGTGAAAGTGGATATCCTTATCTTGTTCCTCCTGATCTTAAAGAAAAAGCTTCCAGCTTTTCACTGTTGAGTATAATGTTAGTTGTGGCCTTTATTATGTTAAGGTTTGTTTCTTCTATCCCCATTCTGCTGAGA